GAATTATTACATATGATCTTATTTATTTTGGTTGCCCTCCCTGTTTTAAGGCTTTGTCTTGAGTAATTCAGATCGACCAACATCACAAACATGGTTTTGGTGGATGAGTCTCCTAACAAAGATTTTCTACATACACAAAAACTCGAACTCAAGACCTTTCTTAAGTGATATGAAGCTACTTATCACTTATATCAACCCCTGTTGGTTTGTTATTAGTTTATTTAAAAATAAATAAAGTATTGTTAAATATATTTAACATAATTAAACTAAAATTCAATTAAAACTGTAAAAAATACTTAATATATTAAAAAAACAAATACAGTAGTTAAAAACAAATAAAGATATTCGTTAAAAAAATTCAAGGCATGTGTCATTATAATTAATATAAGTGAATATCATAATTGTTATTTTTATTATACATGTCATGTATTGATTAATTGTGGAAAGTTAATAATATTAGAGACATGCATCACATTTTTAATGGGGTCATAGTATAGATATCACATTAAAAATCTCTTAAAATATATAAAATTTTATATAGGATGCAAAAGATAGCTAAAAGGTAACTTCTCAAAGTTATCATTATAGTGTCCTTTGGAGACAATTTCTAACGTTAACCCCTTTTTTCTAGATATTTGAATTACAATTTTCAAAGTATTATTGAAGAAGGTTCCTAGTAATAACCAGCACTCCCAAACATGTGGGAACCAGATTTTATAATTGTTTATAAATATATGGGAAATAAGGGTAATTGCCTTTAGAAAGAGCTTAATTTCTGGATGGGTAATGTTTTTATTACCAGTTTGGCAAATTAAAAAGGTTTACTTCATGTATATTGTTCCTATATTTAATTAAATGGCACCTTACACGCCTAACACCTTGCCCTAGAAAAAATAATTTAATACCATAAAGTTTTTAGGCATTAAAGTTGATTTATACTAATTCTTTTTGTTAATCACTGTAAATATAATAAAGTTAACTATAATAAAACCATAGATTATGAACACATTATGAACACATACTTATATAAAAATCAAAACGAAAAAAAATCATAAATAGAGAAAAAATTCACTAAATATCAAAAATGAAAAATACAAGATGATTTGTAATATCACAAATTGTCTCATCGTTTTCTATAACCACTTACTTCAGATGACTAACATTCAATCATATAGTTGATTGTAAAATAAAATAGAGTAAGAAGAAATATAATCTTGAAAGACTCCACATCCATCATAGATGTCTATTTTTGGTCAATTTTATTTTTCCACCAAGAAAATAGCACAACACATTTTTTTTTATCAGTTCAAAACAAAATTTAGGTCACAAACTCTAATATTAGTCATATGTATCTTTTTCATTTTATGGATTCACTCATAAGTGAGTAATTAGGCTTATGAGTTTTTATTTTTTCCAATGATTTTATTTAAGTTCAATTTGATTTGATGGTTCGTTTAACAATCTAAAGATTGTAGTATTAAATTTGATAAGGTTAACCAATTAAATATGTTGTGCAATAACATAGAATTTATATAGAGATAAAGTTTTGGCTAAATATGAAATTTTAAATTCAAGCTTAATTAAACAAATATATAATGTGAATTGTGAAAATGATTTATTCATAAAACTCTTTCAAATGAAAATGATTGCTCAAAGAAAGAATCAAATAAATAATGGGTTAGAAATGGAACATAGAATAACTTAAAAAGATAAGCCCAGGAATTATGGAATCAATGTGGAAGGAAGCCGTTGACATAATGCTACAACATTATCACTTGCACCGTAGTGATTGAATTAATTAATGAAAGAGATGAGAATAATGATTCCAAAACTATAGCTACCAATCACATGGAAAACCTCAGTTTGGTCGGCTGTTAAAAAATTCCCCCACTGCTCGATGTGGTTTGCTCTGATTAATTAACTAAAAAGAAATGCAAAAGCTTTCTATTGGCATGGCCTTCCCGTGGAGGACAACCGGAATGGGTGCAGCAACCCCACTTTGGCCATTAAAGCAGCTTCTAAGAGAGGGATAACATGCAACCACGAAATGCTCATCGGTTTCAAAGCAATAGGCGTCCCCGGCCTTCACAAGGAATCGAAACCCTTAATTTTTTTTAATGATAATGAAACCTTTCAAAATAATTAAAAAACAGTAGAATTCTTCCACTTTCTTGATGGATTAGCTTTGCTAAAATAATTTTTAATTTGGACAAGATAATGGGGTGTTGATTTGTTTAACAAAAGGTGGTTAGATTACAATATTGTATATTAAAATATTAGTGTTTTGCATTTAGATCACGAAGCTCCCAACATTTTTCTAAGCATTAATTAATCTCATTGATCATGTATATTTAATTATGAACAAGTTGATATAAAATAATTGTATATATGGAGGTGAGCCATCGTTTTCATTAAAAAACAACCTAATTGATACCGTCACGTTGTAGTGGGTAGACATTACAACCAAGTTTTTTTGGATGGAAAAAATTGACCAAAATTCGATGAAAACATGGATGAAGTAACATGAAAGCGGACACAGGGTGGGTTGGAAGAGAAAGATGGGAGAATTCGACAGACGGCAACGAATGGGTCGGTGGAGTTCAGGGCCGGTGTGACATAAGGATAGTGAAACGCACCATTTACCTGTAGCTATAAATACAAACCGGTGTTTTCTTATTGGAGCGGAATTAGCATTGCTGATATTAGGTGGTTTATTGGGAGTGAGGCAGGCGTTGTCAGCGCCACCCACGCTTTACTTTGATCACATTCACGCCCACACGCCCTGCTTTCTGATTCAACACACACCATTGCACCATTGTCGATGCAGTCAAATCTCTCTCTCCTTTTTTTTAAAAAATTGCTTTCTGTGTCCTTACTCCTTAAATACACCGTTTCCTTCCCTCATCCCTTTTTATCATAAAACTAAGGTTTAATAGATTATTTCCCCTTCCTTTTTCAGTTTAGTCTTGTACTATTGTTTTTTAGGTAATGGTTATATTATCATCCTATTTATCGCTTTATTTTATTTTATTTATCATTATTTTTAATAAAAAAGGATCTATTCGACATGTCATATGTAATGGAAAATAAAATACATTGAAATTATTTAAAAAAAATCTTAAAGATACAAATTTTTTAAAAATTAAAAAATGTCAAATTTAAAATTATCAATGCAACAAGTATAAAAGTGTTCTAACTACTCCGTGTTAGAATTGAAATAGCATTTGATGTTTAAACTAATGACCGGACTGCCACAAAGACATATGATACAACCACACGTAGAACTTAACTAAAATGTTTGAAATTATAGGGCTAGTCTAGAATCCCAATCTTAGTTTATGGGTGTTTAATGCAATTAATTATTATTCTATTTGTTCCAAGTTTGCATCTTGGTGTGATTTTGTTAAATATTAACGACAAGTTGCTTAAATAAATGCATTTAAATAATTGGATGACCTGATCGGAAAAATTTCAAAAATATTAGTAAAAATGAAAGGGGCAATAGCTAGGAGGTCACTGGTATAATTTACCTTTTATTTTAAATAATTTATCTTTTTAACTAATTTATAATTATACGTTCGTTGAGTCCTTTAAAATTTAAATTTTTATAAATTAAATTAATAGTACTCGTCGTTAATGATGCTTACTCGTCGTTAGTGATGCTCATCGTTATTCCTCGAGTGTAGAACTATCATCCCAACAATGGGCAAGGTCTTTACTCCGTATTTTAAACACTAGAATATGAAGAGATGAAGTGAAATGGAATAATTACATAATATATGTATGAACCCGATGATGAAAAGTTTTCAGTTTAGATGAAGTAATGTGGAAGCAAAGGACTTCACTTGGGATGCAAGGCAACAGTACTTTGGACAGTGTGAGTGTGAGATTGAATTAAAAGCCAAGGAGATGAGGCAGAGAATTTTGGTGATGGAGGGAAATGAATGGGAATATTCCGCACGGTGAAAGGATTGGTCTTAGCTGTGCAGTCGCAGCGTGAGTTTGTCACCTAGCTTACGTGAAACCATGGCTAGAAAGGAATAGCAGGAAAGAGAAAGGAATTAGAAGAGTGGTTCATCTCCCTTAAGACACGCTCCGACTTTGATGACACATTTTTCATTTTCATTCCTATTTTCCATGACTGGCATGCACCAACCCACCATTCCATTAATGCAGCCCTCTTTCCCCATGGCCTCCACCACACTTTGTACTGTAACGCTAAACAACTCACCCTCTTTCACTTCTCATTTTCCCAACCACAATTACGCCTCTTTTAGTCTCCACACGCACTCTTACTTTCTCTGACTCGTCCTTCTTTCCTACTACTAAAATATACATTAAGAAACAAGAATTCTAGTAGTCTTTCGTTTTTATAAACAAGTCAAGACTATTAATATGTATAAAACAATCTTCGAAACCTTTACAGTCCACACGGGTTTTGTCATACTTCTCCTAGTTTTATTCCTTTGGGAACTGCATGCTTGTGTTTTCATCCGTTATTTTAGATAATATATGGACGGGTGAAACAAAGGATCCCATGAAAGAGACCTTATGATGGAACAAACATTCTCTACTTTATCGCTTTCGTTTGTAAAGGCTAACTATAAGGAGCCTGCAGAGCAGAGCAGAGCAGTCAAGCCTTGTCATCATCAAAGGAATTGTTTCAAGTAGAAAGTAGGCATCTTTTTGGGACTTGAAAGATACAATTTTTACTTAGTAACCTTTGTTGTTAAGATAGTCAAAGGGGAGAAGGGGCTTGGGCAGGTAAATGAACAACTTAAATCGCAGGGCTTTTAATTCTCATGTAAAGACAGACAATTAGAAAGAGGAAAAAGGAGAGAGAAAGGGATAGAACGTGGGGTGTTGTTGGGACCCCATGGTGGGGGAGGGAGAGAGACAAAAGAGAGAAAACGTAGACCCCACGCACCGCCCATGCGCACGCTGTCCAAACCAACACTAGATCCATATTTTTACTATGCCTAGACCTAACCCTAAACCCAACAACATTGCACCCAAATTAACTCAAACCCATAAATTCTCCCCTTCCACCATTTTTGCCTATTTTCTTAACTCATTCTTTTCTCCCTCATTTCCTCCCAAACCCTCAACCTACAACTTATCTTTATACAAGAGATACACAGATCTCAACTCACATGATGAGACTGGAGAGAAGAAACATGGGTTGATTGAGCTTTTTCAGCTGAAAATTTGATGGCATATGCTTCAAAGCCCTTCTCTTCCGCTTTCTTGTTGAAACCTACAGATATTCAGTTCTCAGAAGTCCTTGTTTTTTTCTCTTTCTCGATCAAAATTCAGTCGGTTCTCGTATGTGTTTAGCTAATTGTTTAAGTAGTGTTTGAGCTTTGAAGGGAAGAAAAAAGAAATGGACCCAATAACAGCTCACGGACGCCCTCTTCCTCCTTTCCTCATTCGAGATCTTCATCTAAATCCGCACCAACAATTTCAACATAACCACCACCAACAACAGTTACAACATCATAGCTCTGAGGACGAACAAAGCCGTGGCCAGAAACGGGATCGAGAGGAAACGGCCACCACAACCGACGCGAGTGAAGGTAAAGAACTCGATGTAGTCCCCGGAACAGAAGGTGAAATCTCCAGAAGACCACGCGGTAGGCCTGCGGGTTCAAAGAACAAGCCTAAGCCACCGATCATCATAACCCAGGATAGCGCCAACGCCCTCCGATCCCACGTTATGGAAATTGCCACCGGCTGTGATATTATGGAGAGTGTTTCGACTTTCGCTAGGCGAATGCAAAGAGGGGTTTGCATTTTAAGTGGGAGCGGAACCGTGACGAATGTAACCTTAAGGCAACCAGGAGCTCCAGGTGCGGTCGTCACTTTACATGGAAGATTCGAAATTTTATCACTATCTGGGTCATTTTTGCCTCCTCCAGCACCACCGGCTGCATCAGCGCTGACCATATACTTAGCCGGCGGTCAAGGTCAGGTTGTTGGAGGAAGCGTGGTGGGTCAACTAGTCGCTTCAGGGCCCGTGGTGATTATGGCAGCTTCTTTCGGTAATGCAGCGTACGAAAGACTTCCATTGGAGGAAGAAGAACCACCAACGGTAACGGTTCCTGGAAGTGGACACTTAGGGTCACCCGGAAGCGGACCCTTAGGGTCACCCGGAAGAATGGTTAGTCAGGCGCAACAGCAGCAGCAACAGCAACTACTGCAAGATCCCAATGGATCCTTTGCTCAAGGGTTGCTACCGAATCTTCTCAATTCAGTTCAATTGCCAAACGAGGCCTACTGGGGCTTAGGCCGTCCTCCTTATTAACAAAACAGAAACTTTCGGGTTTTTTTTCCTTCTCTTGTTAGTTTGACCTTTTGATAACCTTTTCCTTTCTTCTTTTTATAAGATAGTCGATGTTTTAATTTTAAGCATGATGATCATGGGATTCAACAGGCTTTGATTTGAAGAAGGATACAAATTTCATGGATTTCACTTTGATGTGTGTTTTTTCTATTGTTATCATCACTTCAGTAGTATTTTATTAGAAAATAGCCTTTCTCAATTGTCCTCATTATAGCAGCTTAAGGTTAAAGACGCAGCAGAAGATGGCTGCCATTCCTTTTCAGCTTGTCTCAGCCACGTTCTTCCTCCAACTAATTGATTAAGAAAAGGAAAAAAAACTTAGGGTTCCTTTTTCTTCCTATAATACTTTTAAGTTTCAGATTCTTTTACAGGATCCAGATCCTTAACAAAAGTAGTATGCTTTGGATTTTTATTTTTATATTTTTGATGTAAATGAAGATACATGGGTTCTTTTATTTAAGGTAGTGTCAGTTTGAAGGTTGGTCGGCAAATAACGACTTGAAGAAAGCAAGGTGATGGGAGGTTATGGGCATTAGGGTTTTGCTGTCTCATTCTGGTTTTCTGACTTGTTAGGGTTCATTATGGAACCAGAGATGAACACTGGGTACTGGCTTACACGTGCGCTGCTCTGTAAATAGCATAAAAGAGAAAAAGCTCTTTTCGAGGCAACAGCTCAGGTTCCTATTGGATAAGGATATGTATTTTGGTATAAGTATATTTCTTAAAAAAATAAAAATAATATCAAATTATAAAAGGTTTATGACAAAATTATCCAATTTTAGATTCAGTATCCAGATAAATAATAAATTGGGGATGATTCAAATTCAAGAGTTATACATGTGATGATTTGAGTAATATCGTTCATAATTGTTTCATGTTTCATAATTTGATTTGCAAAGTTTGGTCAGTGCAAGGTTTGAGCCACCTGATATAAAATTAAAGTCACAACTTATAGGCTTTTCCACTACAGGAAGGTAATAATTGGGTGGACCGTACCTCTTCATCATTAACATCGATCCCTTGATTCTTGGGGGGGGGGGGGGACTTCAAAGATTATTACTATATAAAATTAATATTAATATTTCGCTATTTTCTTCCTTTTGCGGTAAATATCTCATGAAACTTAAAGTGTACATAATTTTCACTTTTATGGATTGGCAATTAAAATGGATCGTCCAACCCCCTATTATTAATATCTATATGGTACGTTTATATGCATATAATATAAATATAAAGTGTACATAATGTTGAGGTTTTTTAGTGTTATCCATGTGCTTTTATACAATGTTGATTATGATGAACTTTCTTCTTCTCTATTTAAATTTTTTGTCATAATATATATATATATATTCATTTTTTCTTTCTTTCTTTTGTTTTAACTTGTGATCAATTTTTTACTATTACCTTTCATAACTAGTAATAACTTAATAGGATTACATTTGCATAACTATATTTAGGTGCAGACCAAATCACATTAACGATTCGCAATGGTGTTTATCCATTAGCACATGACGTTCATTTTTGTCTTCTTGCTGATGTCGTTTTCTGTCGAGGAGGTCTTGTAGAAGAAGATAAGAGTTATACGGCACCGTAGGTGTAGCCTTGGAGGCTGCTTTTCCTTGTTTATCAACGATGATCGTTAAATGTAGAGATAAATATTAAAAGGCTTAAATGCATAAATATTAAAATGCTTAAATGCACCATTGCATCTTAAATTATATCATTTTGTACCAAATTGTTTCCTAAACTATTTTTCGGAACATTTTGCATTTAAATTTAAATAATTATCTCGTTTATCCCAAAACATTAACTCCGTCAAAAAAATCTCACTAATTATTCAGAATACGCCACGTCACCTCTTAAATTTTTTATCTGAATAAAAAAATGAAATTAATAGCATACCAAAAGGGTGAATTTTTCAAATAATGCATTGAAAAAAAAATTGCTCAAATAATGTTGTGTAAAAATTATTTCGTGAAATAGGGTGAATGCTACAATGTACCCCGAAGACACACTGTCATTCCAGCGACCCAGTCGAGCCCCTCGAAGACGCATTGGCGTCCAAGGAAAACCCCTACCCTCTCTCTGCATGCAACGTGATTGGTTCTTCCCACCCCATTTGCATGAACACCGAATGAAAACCCTCTCATTCCTCTCTGTATGCATGCACCGACACCCAAGGAAAACTCCCCGAAGACGCATGGCATTCCAAACATCTTCTCACCCCCTCTCTACATGCAACATGATTGGCTCTTCCCACCCCATTTGCATAAACACACAATGAAAACCCCTCTCATTCCTCTCTGTATGCATGCACCGACACCCAAGGAAAACCCTCTCGAAGACGCATGGCATTCCATATTATCACCCTTTCTCTGCATGCAACGTGATTGGCTCTTCCCACCCAACGAAAAACCCTCCCATTCCTCTATGCATGCATGTACCGAGCATACTCAAGGAAAACCCCTCGAAGACGCATAGCTTTCCATGCGTCTTCCAACCCTCTGCATGCAACCCGATTGGCACCCGTCAGCATGGCGTGAAACAGTTTGCCACCTGCCGTAAATTGAAGGGCGTGAAGGCTGCCCCTGCATTGCAGTGTTCCATATGCATGGGGGAAGCAATAATGTTGTAATAATGGAGGGATGGAGGGACTGTTGGTTGGAGATATTATGGGGTTGATTTTTTGAATATATATGTGGTGTATGGTGGGAAGTGTAACTGGGAGTAAAAGAAAGAAGAGGAGAACAAAGAAGAGAAAAGAGGAAGAAAGAAGAAGAAGAGAAGAAAGAAGAAGAAGAGAAGAAAAGTTAAAGTTGTTTCTCACTACACTACATTTTCCGACGAATTCAGTCCTGTTAGTTTTTTTTTTCAAAATCTAGATGATAAATTTTAATTTGTTCAATTTACTGAAGTGATTATTTCATTAATTAATGTTGTTTAGTTCGAATGAAATTTAGTTTAAAAATAATAAATTATCTTGAATTCAAGTTAAAAATAAATTAGATTAGGTTTAAAGAATAATATTCAAACAAGGTAATCTTGTGTTGTTATTGTTGTTTTTTTTACGAATTTTTACTTGTTTAAATTAAATTAGTTAGTTAGTGTAGATTATTTTTAGATGCACGAATATATATTTCTTTTGTATGTAACTTTAAATTAGTTAAATAAAATATAATCTTTAAACTGAATTCGTTATAATATTGTCATTATTCAACATTTAATCTAGTAAACCAATTCGTTCAAATTATATGCATGGATAGATATTGCTTTTGTATGCAACTTGTATGTGTTTCTTATTTGTGTTGAATATTTAGCCGTAGTTACTAGTATTTGTTTCTTTGTTCAACATTTCTCTCTCAGCAATAGCTTTATGTGTTTTTAAATTATTAATGTTATTAAAATTATTTCTTTCTACAGATACGTTGAAGTGGCAGAACAAAATCAATTACTTCATCTCGACGCTCAACATATTTCGAGCCATTTGGGAGTGGCAGTGTTATTATTATTTAATAAAAATATAATTATTTGAGAAAATATTATTAGTAAATGGTAGAAGTTTATTTTATGATTAATTGATTGATTTCATGAATATTATAATTGTAGGAAGACAAGCGACGAGTCCTCCGTCATCGGATCAATATTCCTGGTAAGGCACACCTTTTGATTGAAGATCACCTAAAAGAGGCTGAATTTTATTATGTTACATTTGTTCAGGAGTATAAGTTGGTCTCGGGTTTTATAAGTGCATTGATTGAATGTTGGAGGCCAAAAACACATACATTTTATTTTTCGTGTGGAGAATGCACGATAACCTAGAAGATGTGGCCTTCCAACTCGGGGTTCCAACAAATGGGATGCCAATGGTGATGATAAATTATTACAATATTGTGGAAGCACTTTGCAATGAGTTTCTTGGGCAGACGACAGTAAGCCCATATTTAGAAGGGTGACATTTGAGGTTGTCATGGTTAGAGAATCAATTTATACTCTAAGAAAATAGTACCCAAGAAGAAATTGTATATGCAACTCGAGAATATATATTGCAGTTAATTGGGGGAGTTTTAATACCGAATAAATCCAGTAATATGGTTCACTCGCAGTATCTCTTATTTTTGAGAAATTTTGAGAATACTCGTCAGTATAGTTGGGGATCTGCGATATTGACATTCTTGTACCATGAGATGGGCAAGGCGTGAGTAATCGTGAAGAATATTAATCAGAAAAAATCAGTGGTTGTCTAATGTTGCTACAATATTGGGCTTGGCACAGACTTCAATTTTTAACACTAATTAGTCGAACAACGATTGACTTTCCTCTTGCCGAAAGGTAATATTTATTTTCTCTATTTTAATTTAAATTCTTGATTATAATTTATTTATTGTGATTAAAAATAAGTAAATAAATTTTTTTAATATACAAATGGAGGCATAAAATATAAAGGACGAGACTAGTGCATAATAATATTAAAGAGTTCCGGTTGAAGATCGACATTTATAGAAAAAATGTATATAATATGATATGATATGATATGATATGATATGATATGATATGATATATAATATAATAATATACTATTTAATTTAATTTATTTAAATTCATTTATTTATTTATATTTATTTCTTAATCTATACTTTTATAATTAATTTTTCCTAATGAAATTTTTGGAGGCCTTATTTTATAATATATAAAATAATATTATTTATATATAATTTTATAATTTTACGTCTAATTAATTTTTATAAATGTTAATTTCACATTTTAATTGGATGTCATACATGGAGTAAGAAGTTTTAGCGTGTGTGCCGCCAGAGCTTTTGGAGGGTTATGAAACTTGGGGTGTTGTTACACCATTGATTCAGTTTGCTTTTGTTGAGATATTGTTTGTGGATCGAGTGTTGAGGTAGTTTGGGTGCCACCAGTCTATTCCGCCATTTCATGGGATCATTACCCCTTGCACAGATTAGATGGAGGGGTAAGCACAACATGAATTGGGTTGCGATGCATGCATATTATTAGTTCTTGGAATAACAAAGCTTCATACTTGTTACCTCTTAATCCAATGCAAGATGATGAATTTAATTTTGAGAGTT